CCGTCCTCTCGCACAAGAGACGGAACGGAATGTTAGCTGATTATTGATAGTCACAAGAATTTTCTATAATGACATCAGATATTGTTTTTAGTGTAGTGCCAAAAATTTTTTAATCTTAATCTTAAACTTTTTTATGAATGGCTAATATCCGTCCTTGTGAGTTGTGAACTGTGTTATACTACTTGTGGTTTGTATGAGTCCGCTGTTTTATTCGATTTGTTTTGTTTTGTTGTGTTGTGCTTCATGATGGGCGTAATAGCCGAATAAACATTTGTTGTTGTTGTTCTTTCCAGTGCTACCACCCGCCACCTATGAAGAACAGTATCTCCTCTTTGTTTTGGTTTCCGGCATAAAAGGCAGCTTCTGCATCGTGTCACACTCTAGAGCAGAGATGGCCAACTCTGAATTCTTGGAGTACGGCTCCCATCAGCCCCAGCCAGCATGGCCAATGGTAAGGGATGATGGGAGTTGTAGTCCAACAATGTCTGGACAGCGCTCAGTTGACAATCCATGTTCTAGAGCAGTGTTTCCCAACCTTGTGCCTCCAGCTGTTTTTGAACTACAACTCCCATCATCCCTGACTAGCAAGACCAGTGGCAAGGGATGATGGGAATTGTAGTCCAAAAACAGCTGGAGGCACAAGGTTGGGAAACACTGTTCTAGAGCCACCAAGACACAGAACCCAGGGTGGGATATGCAAATGAAGGGGTGGAGTTATGCAGATAGGCACTTACTTGATTCTTACTGAATCCCACCAGGCTGATAAACACCAAGGTTTACAGAATGAGGGCCAGTGTGCAAGTAGAATTTACACAGATTTGAATCCACACCCATCTACCCAGCTCCCTGGGTGACCTTGACCCAGTCGCTTGTCTCAGCCTAACCTACTTCAGAGGGTTGTTGTGAGGATAAAATGGGAAGCAAGGTGATCCATTAGTAGCTTGGAAGAAAGGGCAGGACAAAATGCCCTAAAAAATAGACAGATTTTACAAACTATTGGAGACATCTCATATGCAACATTTATTTCATTTCCAAAAGGTTTGGGCAGGAAATCTGCCTGACAATCCTGGCTCCATGTTACTTAGTGGGATCAGAACATGCTATTTTCCACCTGTTGGAATAGTCTTAGTAATATTTCCACTGATTCATTTTCATAATGTATGTAAGTGTTCCAGAGCAATTTTTGAAATTCACCAGGTGCAAGTGAAGATGCCATCTGGAGGTGCATAACTAGGGATCTTTGGATCTTGCCTGTTTTCACACACTAACAACACATCCTGTCGAATTATATCCATGATATTTTATCTGCACAATCAGAATGAATTGCAGGAACCAAAAAAACTCTCATTGCAAAATACAACTGGCCCCAAAATGGCAACCAGACATTCTGTGTTGGCAACTGTAACCCTGGTTTAACGAGCCACTGGGCACCTAGCTTATATATCTGAGTTTCTATTCTAACACTGAGAGTTAACCCAAAGAGAAACCGAATACAGTGGTACCTCGGGTTACATATGCTTCAGGTTACATACGCTTCAGGTTACAGACTCTGCTAACCCAGAAATAGTGCTTCAGGTTAAGAACTTTGCTTCAGGATGAGAACAGAAATCATGCTCCGGCGGTGCGGCCGCAGCAGGAGGCCCCATTAGCTAAAGTGGTGCTTCAGGTTAAGAACAGTTTCAGTTTAAGAACGGACCTCCAGAACGAATTAAGTACTTAACCCGAGGTACCACTGTACCCTGTTGCCTTCCCTGCTGCGCAGTACAGTGGGCACACAGAAGCATGTCCCTATCTTTCAAACAGAATTATTATTTTGTTTGTGGTAGTTGGAGATCCCACCGTAGGTATAAAGGTAAAGGTAAAGGGACCCCTGGCCACTAGGGCTGGGGTTGCGGCACTCATCTCGCTTTATTGGCCGAGGGAGCCGGCATACAGCAGCGCATGGGAACACCATTTACCTTCCCGCCGGAGCGGTACCTATTTATCTACTTGCACTTTGACGTGCTTTCGAACTGCTAGGTTGGTAGGAGCAGGGACCGAGCAACGGTTGGCGATACCACCGTAGGTATAGCCAGTTTTAAAACTGTTGACGGCTTGTGATAGGCAGGAGTCCTGCTGTATCAGGCCAAAGGCCCATCTAGTCTAGTGTCCTGGCCTTGCAGTGGTCAACAAGATGCCTAAAGGAAACTTGCAAGTAGGACCTGAGGACAACAGCCCTTTGCCCACCTGCGATTCCCAGCAACTGGTCTTCAGAGGCATCCTGCTGGGGACATTGGAGACAGAACATCTCCAGCTTGGGAACAAACATAGGAACATGGAAAGCTGCCTTATGCCAAGTTGGAGCATTGGTCCAGCTAGTTCTGCATCATCTCTACGAATTGGCAGAGCCTCTCTCTCTTTCAGAGACGAGTCTTTCGCAGCCCAACTTGGAAATGCCAGAGACTGAACCTGAGACCATCTGTATTGCAAAGCAAATCCTTCAGCTATGGCCCTGGTAGATAAATTAACCCCAGACCTTTCCCAAACACATATGAGCCGGTCAATATACAGTTTATTCTAACCCAAAATCCTTCAGTCTGAGAGGTGCAACCCCTAAGTGGAGGTTTCATCTGTCCTCAGGTTTGTACCAAAATCACTTCAGGACTCCACATGCCAAAAACATCGATAAGGAACCCTGGTGTCAAACAAAACAAAAACGAAACAACTGAGCTGCAGTGTTCTGAAGCATTGATTCAAAGGATTCGCATGGTTGCATCTGACCAGACCAAGATAGTAAGGGGGGTGCATAGTGCCCCCTGCTGGATGAGGCCCTGAAGCACTTCCGTGCCCCCCTCCTTTTTCAACAACACAAACTTGCTTAAAGGCATCCTCTCCTAAACCCCTCTGTGCTTCCACATCCCCCAGCTCCATATCAGAAATACATGCTGATCCTAACCTTCTCACTGCAGCGGATGAACAGATCACATAACACCATTCACGTAACAAAAGCTACCATAGAGATATCAACATTTTCAAAGGTAGGGGGTTGGCTTTTGAAAAATGGGGTTCTATAGTCCTAAGATGGTTGGGAACCACTTAGTGAATACAGCAACATAACCCCCACCCACCCTATAGCCATGTGGCATGCCTGTTGTGGAGGGCTGGAGGCCTACCGGAGATAAGTGACTTTCCCAAGGTCATAGAGGAAGTGTGTGGCAAAAAAGGAGACTCTTTATTGTCCGTATTCTAGTATATAAGCCCCAGCTGAGCCTCTTTGCTTCATAGCACCTAATAGTGTGGGAGGCTTCCCTCCATCTCTCCCCCCCCATCCTAAAATAAAAAAAAAAAATAGGGGAGAAGCTACCAAAGATTGCATAATGAGACTATCGAAATGAGACAGATGGATGGAAAAGCAGAATGGAGGGGGGGGTGGATTTGCTTTCCTCTGCTCCAGCAAATGACTCTCCCTACCTAAAAAACACCCCCCCCGACTCCAACCATCATAGTTCTTCCATGGGGGAAGAGGAGACTACAGCTGTTCTCTTCCACAACCTTAGCAATACACTCCTGAATTCACTGTATTCCTGAATTCCTGTAACACCATTTTTACAGTCTAGTGAATCCCATATTCAGGGTAATATAAAAACGATAAGTGAGGGGGGAGGGGGGACTTCCTTGTTTTGTAGGCCAGGGGGGGGGGATTCTAATTTGTTTTCACAATTCTAAATATAGGGCCAGTGTGGTGGTAATTTTTCTCAGAGCATGAAATATGTGCTGAATGTGGGGTTTTGTTTGTTTTGGAGCACCAGATCTGAAACACAAAGCCAACAAATAACAAGACAGTGTGTGCCTCTGAGCACATGCAGAGTACATTTCCTCATTATTAACTACAGTATAGCAGATCCCAAACATGTAATCGTTGGGGCAGGATTTCCACAGCAGAGGTTGCTGTTGTCAGGCAGGTTTGAAGGGGCAGCCCCTCTGAATTAAACGGGAATAATAATCTAGTAGTGGTTATTCTAAATTAGATAAAGGGGAGAGGTGCAAGCACACAAAACTCTTGTATGGTTCTGGCGCTGGAGACCATGAAAACAGAATCCCCTTTTCTCCCCTCCCCTCGCCTGGGTCCTGGCTCCCCCTCCCCCTTCCCCAGCTGCCAGCCCTGGGGAATCTCAGTCCATCTGCCTCCTCATCCTTCACTCGCCTCCTCTCTTTTCCCTCCAGCATCCTCCACACCGGGCCCAAGGAGGACCACTCTGCGGGCAAAGGCAGGCCACGGGGAGGGCAGCCCCGGCCAGCCACTTGGCCTCGAAGCAGCCGCATCCTTCCATCTCTGGCTCTAAGCAAAGTGGACGGGTGGGGGGGGGCGCGGAGAGGAAGCGCAGAAGGTGAAACCCAATCCAAGGCACCGACGACGCAAATCCATCCTTCATCCACAGTTCGATTGAGGCTGCTGCGCCCTCTCTGCCGTCCCTGCAACCATCCAAGCAGGTGGGGGGGGGAGAGAGATGGGGGCTGCTCTTCGGAAAGGGGGGTGGGGAAGGAGAGGGCATCCTTCCGCCTCCCTCCCTCCCCGTCAAGATTACTTGTAGGGCTAAGTAAAGACCACAGCCGTGCCTTTTTCCCTCCTGCAAAGTCACACCGTGGAGGCAAACCGAAACACCAAATATTTGCGGGGTGGGGGTGTTGAAAGAGAGGAGGACGCAAGATGAACCCCTCCAAGCGGTGCTCAGCAGAGATCTGAGCCAGCATCAGGTTAAGCGCTAGCGAGGACCACCAGCAGCAGCAACAGCAGTGAAAAAGCATCCTTTCGCCAGGACTGGACATCCTTTGCTCCGCGCCATCATTGCCTCTCCATCCATCCATCCCTCCATCCATCCAGACCTCCCCTCCCCCACCAGCTCCATCCCCGGGCGGCCCGAGCCTCTGCCCACCCCGCACCATAATCCATCTCGTCTCCTAACCCCGATCTCCCCACCCCGATACCCCAGATGCGGATCCTGCGCCCCGCCGCCCCTTACCTCCGCCCGGCAGCGCAGCCTCTCCTCGCAGCCGACGATCCAGCGGCTGCAGCGGCAACAAAAGCGCCCGCTCCTCCTCCTCTTCCTCTTCCTCCTCCTCCTTTCCCCCCGCTCCGTCAGCCGGGCAGGCCGGTCCCCATCTGGCTAATCACCGCGCTCCCCGGACACGAGCGCCGCCGCCGCCGCCGCCGCCGCCAGCAGCAGCTCCAAGGAGGAGGATGCGCATCTTCCGCGGCCAAGGCGCGGCGCAAAGATGGAGACGTCCAGGGGGTCCTCCCGGAGCCGGCGCCGGGTAGGCCTGGGGGGCCCGGGCTTCCTCTCCGCTTTGCTGGATCCGCGCGCTCCTGGCCGGCCGCCGCGCACGACCAGCACCGCCAGCTCCGCTCCCTCCCTGCGGCCGGTGCCACCCCGGGGACAGACACGCCCTGGGCCGGGGGGACTTGGGACGGCCTTGGGCAGAGCCGGCCGAGCGCCAGCCTCTTAAAGGAGAAGCGGCCTCCCGTGGAAGCGCGCGAGGTAGCCTCTTCGCCCCCGACAGCATAAAAGACGCTTCTTTTATTGGTTACATTTTTATACCAATTCCTCTCACTCTCCGGCTCGTCCTCTCAACAACCCCGTGAGGTAGGCTAAGAGACAGTGACTGGCCCAAGGTCATCCAGGGATCTTCTTGGCTGAGTGGGGATTTGAACTCGCTGTGGTCTAAACCACTGAGCCTAGGACTTGCTGATCAGAAGGACGGCAGTTCAAATCCCCGTGACGGGGTGAGCTCCCGTTGCTCGGTCACAGCTCCTGCCAACCTAGCAGTTCGAAAGCACAAAGTGCAAGTAGATCAATAGGTACCACTCCAGCGGGAAGGTAAACAGCGTTTCCCTGCGCTGCTCTGGTTCGCCAGAAGCAGCGTAGTCATGCTGGCCACGTGACCCGGAAGCTGTACGCTCCCTCGGCCAATAAAGCGAGATGAGCGCCGCAACCCCAGAGTCGGCCACAACTGGACCTAATGGTCAGGGGTTCATTTACCTTTTTACTCCCAGTTTGAATTCCAACCATGACACCTATAGGAGCCAACTCCTAGTGGTTGAAGGGTCTTCGTGCCCCCCATAAAATATTTGAGGGGGCCACCCCCCCAGTTGATGGACATTGCCATTTAAATGGTGTGTGTTCACTGCATCATGTGATCAAGAAGGGCTTACCTGACTCCCCCCCATATTTTATTCAAGTTGGCACCCCTGATATGCCATACTGGCTTTTAAAGTATAATAATAATAATAATAATAATAATATGTTTATTTATACCCCACCCTCCCCAGCCAGAGCCTGGCTCAGGGCAGCTAACACCAGTAAAATTACAATAAAAACATAATGGGGGGGGGGGAGAAAAGAAAAAAACCCAATTTAAAATAGGGGTTAAAATACAATTTCAAATGCAGCCTCATTTTAACAGTAGCCCATATACTGCATTCCAAAACAGCCCCACATATAGTATTATTTTTTATTCAAGATTGTAACAAGACATATTATCCAAAAACATATCATCCTTGTCCCCCCCCCCATTTTTCCTCCCTCCCCCCCTCCCACACAAAACCCACCCACCCCCAGACTTCCCTCAGTTCCAGTCTTTGGTTTCTCAAAGAATGCTGTTTTCTGCATGTTACAAAGTTGTATAGATCCTCAAACTATTTAGCTGATTATTATCAATAAAAGGTTTGTGAATGTTTATTCAAAACCTGCCAAGGAGTCCAGTTCGCTTTGTTGTGTCTTCAGATACTTTGTAAAGAGTTCCCATTCATCCATAAAGTCACAGTTATCCTTGTCCCGTAGCTTGTATGTCAGTTTTGCCAGTTCTGCATAGTCCATCAATTTTTCTTGCCATGATTCTTTAGTTGGGGTTTCTTCAGTCTTCCATCCTTGTGCTACCAGAACTCTCGCGGCCGTTGTCGCATACATGAAGATGTTTTTCAACTTTTTTGGCAGGTCTTTCCCTACAATCCCCAACAAAAATGCCTCGGGTTTTTAAACAAATGTTAAATGGAACATTTTCTTCAATTCGTTGTATATCATTTCCCAAAATTTTTTAATTACCTTACAATCCCACCACATATGATAAAATGTCAGCCCCACATATATTATCAGAATAGTCCTTATGACAACCCTGCAAGAAGGTCAGTGTTCTCATTCCCATGTGGAAGAAAACAAAAGGAAGGGGCGCCGGGCACCTTATTATATTTATATTCCACTTTTTTCCCAAAGAGGTACCTGGTTCTCCCTCTCCCTCCATTTTACCATCTCAACAACCCTGTGAGGGAGGTCCGGCACTGAGAAAGGCTGTGATTGGCCCATGGTCACCCAGTGAATGAGTTGAACCTTGTCTCCCAGCTCCTAGTCTGACACGGCTGCACCACATGGGCTCTTCTCGTAGGCAGAACATGAGACTTGATTTTAGAGTTGTGGGTTCGAGTTCCACCTTGTGCAAAAAAAAATTCCTGCATTTCAGTGGGTTGGACTAGATGACCCTTGGGATCCCTTCCAACGCTACAATTCTATGGAATCGGAGTGATGGGATGTGAGAATGAGTATCAGCGCTGGAGCAGGAGCTGGCATTCCAGGACTTCAAGCAGCAGGTATAATATCAGTATTGTTAGCAGGATTGGGGAATCTTTTTCAGCCCAGTGCCACGTTCTATTATGGGCAATATTTCAGGGGCCACACAGGGAGAGGATTGAGGTCTGGACAGGTAGGATGGCTCCTGGTCACTCAGCTATCATCTACAGTTCAATTCTCACACCCCTTGCTCTGAGATAGGGAATCCAGGGGGGTTGATGGACTTTCTGAAATGGCTAAAATGACCAGAAGAATCAGAAATCAAGAAGACCAAAATTTTAATAATAGGGAAAAATTGCAACTTATCTTAAAGACCATTGTAAACAGTTAAAATCGTTAGTAGGATGGAGAAGTAAAAGATTTGGATCATCAAAAAAGATGCGGGAGGAAGAGATTAGGACCCACAAAGGGGAGGATGGAAGTCCAGGAGATCCCTTGGAATTTTGTTTTTATTCTTTATGTTTGATATATATCTGTAAAACTTTAATTTGAAAAACCAAATAAATTAATTAAAAATAAAAATAAGAGAATCCAGAGGGTTGATTTACAGTGGTACCTCTAGTTGCGAACGGGATCTGTTCCGGAGGCCCGTTCGCAACCTGAAAAGAGTGCAACCTGAAGCACCATATCTGTGCAGGTGTGCGGCACGATTTGGCACTTGTGCGCATGTGCAAAGTGCGATTTAGCGCTTCTGTACATGCGCGAGCGGCAAAACCCGGAAGTAACACTTTCCGGTACTTCCGGGTCACCACAGGACGCAACCTGCAAATATGTAACCTGAAGCATCCATAACATGAGGTATGACTGTACTGTGAAAGGGATGGGGAGGGAGCTGAGGCCTCCCATGATTTCGCCTACTGCTGCCTCCACTATCTGCCACTATCTGAATTAGTTATCAAGAGTCTGCAAAATCTGGCTTTCTTTGTAGCTTTTGGGGGGTTTGGAGTCAAAACCGTTGTCCATGCCTGAAGCAGCAAGCGGTCAGTGCTCAGAAAGCAAGACTGCAATTCATTCAGGGCAGAGGAGCAGTTGGAAGATCCTCCAGATGTTGATAGACTACCATTCCCATCATCCCAGACCATTGGCCTTGCTGACTGGGGATGATGGGAGTGAGTCCCACATGGGGATGTCACCACAGTGGCTATTACTGATTAAAGCTATTGAGAGTCTCAACCCAATGCCAAGCTAGTTGAAACTTAAGCTACAATTCTGTGTCCAGATCTAGGGAAGCGGTAAAGGTAAAGGGACCCCTGACCATTAGGTCCGGTCATGGCTGACTCTGGGGTTGCGGTGCTCATCTCGCTTTAATGGCCGAGGGAACCGGCGTACAGCTTCCGGGTCATGTGGCCAGCATGACTAAGCCACTTCTGGCGAACCAGAGCAGCGCACGGAAAACGCCGTACACCTTCCCGCTGGAGCGGTACCTATTTATCTACTTGCACTTTGACGTGCTTTCGAACTGCTAGGTTGGCAGGAGCAGGGACCGAGCAATGGGAGCTCACCCCGTCGCGGGGATTCGAACCACCGACCTTCTGATCAGCAAGCCCTAGGCTCTGTGGTTTAACCCACAGTGCCACCTGCGTCCCTTAAAGTTAGTATCCACCTTGAACTTTCCAGACAGAGAAGGCTGTACACAGAGATGTTGTTTTGCTACAATAAACCTACCATTAAAATTATGGACTGATCATTTCTTCGTCAGAGGGAAAACGGGCAAATTTAGCAGGGGATCAAATACTTTCCCTCCTCGCTGTACCTGCTTGCTGATGCTTTCAAAGAACTCTAAAAGGTTATAGAGGCAAGACTTACCTTTGCAGAGGCCATGCTGATTCTTCTTCAGCAAGAATCATTATGTGATCATTTTATCTTCAAATATGCTTTCAACCAATTTACCCAGAACAGGAACCGAACAAACGTGCCTGACTTCCCAGACCCACCCACTATTATCCATTTTCTAAAAAACTGGCATTGCCTTGGCAACTTTCCAGTTCTCCTGTACAGAGGTCGATCACAGAGACAAGTTACATATTTTTGTTGCAAGGTCAGCAAGTTCGCATTTGAATTCTCGAAGATCGCTGCTCTGGACACACCTATTTGGTCAAGATTCCCATGTTCTGAAGTAAACCTTCTGGTCTCCTCTTGCTACCCATGCTGGTGTCCTCTTGGCCTTTAGTAGTACCTTACCTGATTTGGAGTACGTAGTCTGGCTGATCTATTATTGTGGCTTTGAATATCCCCCCCACCATCTCTTGAATTCCCCTTTAATCTTCCTTTTTACCAATCTCTTTGTTATTATTATTTTCGTAAATGTCCTCCTTAGTGGAAGTTGTGTTGGACTTACTTGGCCATTGTCAGCTCGTGGGTGTGGATAGGTGTGGGTGTCCTGAGGGATTGGGATCATAGACTACAGTGGTACCTCGGGTTACAGATGCTTCAGGTTACAGACTCCACTAACCCAGAAATAGTACCTCGGGTTAAGAACTTTTCTTCAGGATGAGAACAGAAATCGCGTGGCGGAGGTGGTGGGAGGCCCCATTAGCTAAAGTGGTACCTCAGGTTAAGAACGGACCTCCGGAACGAAAGTTCTTAACCTGAGGTACCACTGTACCATTGTCTCCAACTGACCTGACAATGCCGGGACTGTCACGAAAACCCTGAAGCCACCATGGAACGGTCTCCCTCAGGAGGTGGTGGACTCTCCTTCCTTGGTGGTTTTTAAGCAGAGCTTGGATGGCCATCTGTCATGGATGCTTGAGCGGAGATTCCTGCATTGCAGGGGGTTGGACTAGATGACCCTCAGGATCCCTTCCAACTCTACAACTCTACAATCGTGGCTTCTCACTTTCTTACGCTGAGTCCCGAATTCCTATCTGTGTTGAGCTATCCTAACAGGAAATGATTATACACCCAGGGTAGGGAACTTGCGACCTTCGAGATGTCGCTGAGCTACAACTCGCATCAGTCCCAGAAAGTACCACTGTACAGTGTTGAGCTGGATTGGGATCACAGACTACAGTCCAATGCACACATGTATATATCCCATGAAC